AATATGATTTTTTTTTTTGATGATCTGAATCTTTTAAGTGTGACAAATATGCAGAAAATAAAAAAAACAGAAAGGGGGCAAAACCCTTTTCACGGCACTGTGCATATATATATATATATATATATATATATGTATGTATGTGTTTTGATCACAGCAATAAATTACATTTTAAAATATATTCAAATAGAAAATGGTTGTTTTAATTTTTTAATAATATTTCAAAATATTACTATTTTTTACTGTATTTTTAATCCAATAAATGAAGCCTTGATGAGCATAAGAGACTTTTCTCAAAAATGCATATTAAAAAACAACAACTTTTGAACAGTAGTTTAAGTGACTAAAATCTGAATATCTTTCAAAGATTTGATGTTACTAAGACATTTGAATCTTATTTTATGTTAACAAAACAAAAACACAAATCATAACCTGTATGGCTTTACTTCCAGCTTCATAAAACCAGATGATCAGGATGGAAATGGTGATTTCGCTCCGCGTTTGGCATTTTTGAGTGCAATATGCATCAGACGGTTAGTAAACGTGCTGTGGGCGTTCTGTGGAGCGACCGTCTGATGTTAAGGCTGCCTTGTCACTAACAGTCACCATTGCTCTTCTCATAAACTCATTTTTTCTAACAGCCTGTGGTTTTGATGGCAGCTCACAGTCTGTGACTCACCTGAGAGAGAGAGAGAATGAGTAAAAACAGACTGAGGTTTGTGGATTTCCTGGGTCCTGACTGCACCTGCTGTGGATTAGAAATCCAGCCAGGCTCGTAACGCAGAGCTGAGCTGTCGTGGGAACTCACACAGAGAGAGACCGAGGCGTCTGTCACCTGAACAAGCTTTGAGTTTTTCTGCTGGATTATCCCACCGCTCCTGACACGCTCAGATTCCTCACATACTCGCCCATCTCACGGGCAGACCGAGTGCAAACAACAGATGTGAGCGGGAATTCGAGTTCATGGGGGGCTTCGAATTAACAAGAAAGGTTTAATGCGCCTATCATTTGGCCCTGATCGTCATTAGCCAACTGTGGCGTCTCATAACGGGAAGCTGTTCGGTTCAATGCAGGGCAACACAGATGAACCATTGTGAAGGTCGTTGCTGGTTCTTTCAGGCCTGACCTCCACAAAATGTCACCTAAACGTCAAGTCAATATGCATTTATATATGTAATATCTGGAAGAATATTCAGTGCATTTGATGTTTATAATATATAATATAAAAATAGTAGCTAATAGATTGGGGTGAGTAATATTTTTTTTGTTTTGGAAGAAGTCTCTTATGCTCACGAACACTGCATATATTTAATTAAAAATACAGTAATATTGTGAAATATTTTTTGCAATTTAAAATAACTGTTTTCTATTTTAATATATATTAAAACAGAATTTATTCCTGTGATGCAAAGCTGAATTTTCAGCATTATTACTCCAGTCTTCAGTGTCACATGATCCTTCAGAAATTATTCTAATATGCTGATTTGCTGCTCAAGAAATATTATTATTACTAATGTTGAAAACAGTTAATATTTAATAATGTATGTGTAACATTTTTATATTTATATTCGCTATTAGTAATATATGTGAAAGATCTGTCAATATGCTCTCATTCCCTGTTGGCAGTTAGTGCAACATTAAGCACATGTTTTCGCAACATTTATTATTTGTGAATGTATTTTAAATTCTATAAATTATATTTAGCATATGTCTGTACACACTTGTTTTTTTTCTTTTTTTTCTGTGATGTTATAATTACCCTTATTCTAGATTTCTGATATGTAAAATCTTATTTTTAATCAGACTGGAAACTGGATTTTTTTATGAAATCTCTGACTCGGATGAATCAGTGAATCATTTGTTGAGCTTGTTCATTTACATTTAACCGTTTGAGCGAACTGATTCACTGAAAACATGTTTAATATAAATCAATTTAATATTTCAATATTGAATTAGATTATAACAATATTGAGTTATTTAATATAATTCAGTATTTAAAAAAACGGCAATGTAGCATTTAGGGATGTAACGATTCACTCAACTCACGATTCGATTCACGATTTTGATTTCACGATTCGATTTGATTCACAATTTTTTTTTTTTTTTTTTTTACAAAATGAGATTTAAGACAAATTAAATTAAATGTGTCCTTTTATTATTGCTTGGACAAAATGCTGCATATGTGAATCGATTTTCAACCGGCTCGCGGTTAATCGTTACACCCCTAGTAGCATTTAGTTTTTTTAGTTGCACTAGCAAAATCTACAGTAGACTTATTTTCCGAGCTTAAAATACATATAAGAAGACAAAAGGACTCAATCCTTGGTGTCCCAGAGCTCCACTTTTCTTCATCTTCATTTCTTTGTCCACCAACATTATTTTTGCCATTTGGATTCTTCACTTGGGTTAATCTTCAGTATATTTGCAGCTGACATTAGGCCTGTGTCTGTAGGTTAAATGGCCTCCGCTGTGTTAAAAGCGAAACTCTGGAGCCGGTAAAACATCTCACCCAGCTGGACCTGCGAGACAACCAGCTGACGTCTCTGGACCTGAGCTCGGCCTGCAGTCTGGAGACCCTGCAGTGCCAGAGGAACCAGCTGGGGGCCCTGACTCTCAGCGGCTTCACCCTGCGCACACTCCACGCCAGTGACAACCGTGAGTACAGACCTCCACAGCATCGTTTATGAAGCAGAGGATTCCATTCTCAGGCCTCACTCTGTGTAATCACTGTAATATCTTTCATAGGTCTGACCACGGTGAACATCTACCCTGTTCCCAGCCAACTCACAAATATGGACCTATCAAGGTAACTGACATTATTTTGTGCATATCTGTGTTCTAATCAGTTGTGAAACAAACATTTCTTGCAGCAAATAGTTTTTTCTGTCCAAACTAAAAGCAAAAATGCTACACAATGCACCAAAATCTCAGCCAGACGAAGCATATATGATGTTTAATGCACAAATTTGGACCAATGAAAAATTTATTTTGGCATGTTATGGTTCAGCTGATTAATAAATGTTAATTGAAATGAAATGCATAACAATCATCACAACATTTTATACAAAATGAGCAATATTACCAGTAATAATGTGTAATCGCCAGTATCTTTGTAAACTAAGTATATATTATTTTTTACATATTGTTTCATAGTATATCTCTGCACCAGTGTTGTTAAGGTTAACTAAATCGAAAACTATTTTTAATTAGCTTTTCTTTTTTTTTTTTAACTAAAACTATTTTTAATCATCTTTTAACTAAATATTAACTCTTTGTAAATTGAAATACAGCAGAAATAAAATTAAATATAAATATTAGGTTAAAAACTAGCTTTGCAACAAACTAAAGTAACTAAAACTACATTTACATTTAGTCATTTAGCAGACGCTTTTAGCGACTTACAAATGAGGACAATAGAAGCAATCAAAACCAACAAAAGATAATATGCAAGTGCTATGACAAGTCTCGGTTAGCCTAACGCAGTACACGTAGCAATAATATATATATATACACACACACATATATATATATATATATGAAAACAAGCAGTTAGAAAACGAATAGAGAGTGCAAGTGTTAGAGGGTCAAGTCAACAAATAGATAAAATAGAATTAGAATAGACAGTGTTAGAGTTAGAGGGTCAAATAAAGATGGAAGAGATGTGCTTTTAGCCGATTCTTGAAGATGGCTAAGGACTCAGCGGCTCAGAAGTCCGTGAAAGTGATTTTGTGCCTCTTTGGGATGATTTCTTTAATTAACTAAATATTACCTTTTTTGTTCATTTAAAAACATTAAATTACTCTTAACTAAAGCTAAAATAAAAATAAGTTACATTTAAACTTTTTTTGAAAATCAGAAACTAATAAAAATGACAAAAGTGCATAACAAAATTATTAAAACATATGAAACCTGAAAATATTCAAATAAAAGCCAATTCAAAATATTAATAAAAATTGTATATAAATACTGTAAGGATATAAATAATACCAAAATAACACTGCTCTGTACTTACTAGTGTACTTGCACTATAACATGAACATTGTAATGCAGATGTGAGCGGATGTTGCTCGGCTCATTACAAGAGGCTCAGCGCGCTCCACTCGTGTCCTTTACCCTGCGCACTCCTGTACAATGCTAATGCTCTGATGTAATTAGCCTGGAGTTAATTCCCATCCCTCCTGCAGGAATCTCCTGGAATACCTGCCAGACTGGGTCTGTGACAGCAGGAAGATTGAGGTGCTGGATGTCTCCCATAATCTGCTGTCTGAGCTCCCGGCCAGGTGTGTGTGTGTGTGTTCTGATATATATGGTTTTTGAGGACACAAATGTGTATAATGACTTGGGTACTACGACGAAAACATGGTTTATGAGGACACTTCCTGTGTCCCTGTAAACCAAAAAGGTTACAAAACATGCTAAATGGTGTTTTGTGAAATTAAAAAAATTGGCAGGAGTTTTCTGTGAGGTTTAGGTGTAGGGTGATACAAAATACAGTTTGTATAGTATAAAAACCATTACGCCTAGGCAGAGTCCCCGTAAACCATAAATGCAAGTGTGTGTGTGTGTTTAGACCGCCATGAAGTGCATTTGCATCTTCCCCAGTTTCCAACAAAAAAAACTGTCCTCCTGTTCCCCCATTCCAGAATCTTAATGTCAGCATTTTGTACTTATTTATTCAACAAAAATTGCCCATTTGATTTGAATGATGTGGGTTAAAGCGACTGTCTGGCCAGACGGTGGATCTGAATAGAAACGGGCCGGCGTTCATCAGCAGACTCTTGATGAGGCCACTCTGCTGTCTCAAAGCAAAGTGATGTAAACGCCAAGCAGATGAAAGCACCATTTCCAGCTAATTCCACATTAACATTCAGTCATTTGCATCTGAAAGAGCTAAAAGCCGTGCACAAATGAGATAATATGCGGCTTGAAGTTTGTGTCCCATTTGAGAGTGCTGTGAGTGCTGCATGAAAATGCTGTGTTGCTGTTTTGAAGGAATGGTTCACCAAAAAAGAGAATTCTGGCTTTATTTACTCAACCTCATGTCATTCCAAACCCATAATGCAATTTTCCATGAGAAGAGAGTTTTTTTTATTGAAGAGACTTCATGCAGCTCTTGTCCATGCAGCTACATTATTGACCATGTCTGTCAAGCTCCAAAAAGACAACAAAAACAAAAAAAACGATGAAAACGGAAACGTGTTATTCACTGAAAATCTTCATTTGCAGCTCTCACATGCCATTCTTCATAGGATAGTCAATCTAGTGTGCTTGCTTTTGGTTACAACACATACAAGAACCAGTGACTAATGCAAATTGTTTCTTTTTTTCCCCAAAAATGAATGTGTAAATATGTTAGATTATATTAAATAATATTTTACTTATAAATATTTTATTATATTTTTATTAAAATATATAATATTTTATTATAAATAAAAAGGTGTAAATAATATTTTAAATTGTACTTCAGTGAAATGCCACTTAAATTTGTGTCTTTTCCTCACACAAAACTATTGTTTGGCTTCAGAAGACTTGAACTATTATTAGTATAATTAAATTATTATAGTTTTATTATATTATAATTAAATTATTTTTCTTAAATACTTATTTTTGTTTGACAGTAAAATATTAAAATAGTAATGAAAATGAAAACTTGTTATTTACTGAAAATCTTCAGTTGCAGCCATAAATAGAAATATTGTAATTTTACAGTTGTACTGTAAAATTAAATTATATTATTTTTCTTAAATACAGATTTTTTTGTTTTACAGTGGAAAAATTACAATAATAATGATTATTTACTGAAGCTCTTCAGTTGAAGCTTAAATTTAGTTTAATATTTTAATTTAGTATTAATAATTATTTTTATTATGTTATTAATCGTTATTTTTATTATAGTCATATTGATATATAATCACAACAGTTTTGCAGCCATACAAACAATCACAACAAACCTGGAGCTTGCATTCTTTCTTTTTTCGTTAATTAGTTAGTTAGTTAGTTAGTTATTTTTAACTATTTTATTTTAAATCGCAATTGCAATTTTTATCAGATTTTAAAAAATCATATTTCCACAGAAAAAAAATAGCAGATGGGCTTTTATTGACATGAGATTGAGTGAATAATGTTATGTAAATCCTGTAACGGTGTCTAGTAGGGATGTAACATTGGGTTGTATCCTTAGGTATGTAAGATGGCGCCGACGCTGATGGCTGCCTCCGTGGCGTGCTCTATATATCGCGATATTTCGATGGCAAAACTGTCTCGATATTATCGTGGTCGCCTGACGATATGAAACGATAGGTTTTCCGGGCCAAAAAAATTTAGTTTTTAAAATATATTTGTTTTAAGCCATTATGCTTTGGCACAGTATCTGTCAAACGAACTAAAACCGAAAGCATGACTTCATCCCTTCGTCAAGTCTATTTTTACTGCGTGTTTTAAAGCAAAGCGCACACATTATTCATGCGATCAGCTCGTGATCCGGTGTTTTCTACGCCTCAGAACGGCTTCGTTCACGGTCAATGAATGCAGTGAACTCGTTTATTGCACGTGCTCTGAGTTTAGCGCACGTTTGGGAACGCAAAGGCCAGCAGTTCTGCTTTATTTTCGCGGCAGATTATTACAGCATTTCACTAGATTTGTAGTGAGAGGCGTTTTTGTATTTTCACTGAAGCTGGAGTTTCCCTTCAAAATAAAAGCTCTACTGCCGTTTCCGTCAAAATAAAAGCTTAAAAGTGCATTATAAATTGCTGACAGCTAGCGGTTTCAAATGCAGTCCAAATTCAAAATATCTCTTTCAAGTGTAGAAATTAGGAAAGGAGTATTGTAATTTCCCTACTGTAGTGTAAAGCAAAAATATTATACCATTGAAATATTAATTTTCACTTATTTTACAGCAATTGTTTTACAATAAATGACTATTACTGTCATTGTTGTTGTTATTATTATTATATTCGAATTTGTTTGGCTTCCTAAAACACTAGTGTGAATGTAATTTAGACTGAGATAGTATATCACAAATAGAAAGAGGGCTAAGTCCCCTTTAAAGTTCAGGTACAAGTCAATTCACTGACTTTTTTTCTGACTTAAGGTTTCTTAGTTAAGAACATGGGTTGAAGCTCATAATTTTGAACTCTCAAAGTGCATTAGATGGAATAATTTAACTTTAAAATGTACAAAATGTTCATTTTTTCCCCAATTCTTCATTTGTCTTTTTAAATATCGCAATAAATATTGCATCGTAGACTTCATATCGCAATATTATCGCATCGTGAGATTTTGATATCGTTAGATCCCTAGTGTCTAGGCACTGATGGTTTCAAGACTGAATTTCGGTGTGAAACCAAAAACAGCGTTTTTTTTTTCTTTTCTTATGAAGACTCTTTCTTTCTCTGTCCCTTTCAGACTTCTTAGCAGTCTGAGTCTGCGTAAACTGCTGGCTGGTAACAACAGGCTGGAGAGACTGGCTGACCTGCTCGACCACATCCCACTGGAAACACTCGACCTGCAGCACAACAAGTTGCGGGAACTGCCAGAGAGCTTCTTCTACAAAGCCTTAAAGTAGGTCACTCCCTCCTTCTGCCCTCTTCTCGGTTCATCTTACTCTCCGGGCTGTGCTTTCGTTCTTTTTTTCTCGTTCTCTCTCCATTTTCCTTGTGTTTTTCCTCTCTGTTTCCTGCAATTTTCTGCGTGTGACAGGTGTCTCTCTCTGCTCTGTGGACCTTTAGCTCTGCTGCTTGAGCGCTTCATCAGACCTCCTAGCCTTTTACAGGAACTTAGCAAACCAAAGTTTAATATTTGGCTTTAACTAAACCAAAAATTAAGAGGATTTGGCATTTTCAATTAATGTAGCCCTGTTACTTTATTTTTATTAGGCCTATTATTATTATGAAGTTACTTTTATTTTTATTTACCGTATTGTCCCGAATATAAGACGATATTTTTTTCTTGGAAATACATCTGAAAAAACGCGGTCGTCTTATATTCAGGGTCTAGACTTTGACATGTCAATAATACACCCACAACACTAGGTGGCGCCAAATACGCATAAAAAGCCTTTTTCCAAAAGGTACATCTGGAAAAAGGGGGGGTCGTCTTATAATCAGGGTTGTCTTATATTCGGGCCAATACGGTACTTAAAATTACAATTAATTTGCCCCGCAATATTACCGCATAAATGACGCGCTGCAAGGATAACAAAAGATAAGACTATTTGCTCCTCAATTAAAATGTTTTAAAAAAGGTCTTTTAAAACAGGTCTATTATACATACAATTAATTATAGGCCTATACAGTAGTCAACATTTGAAGTGGATAAAGAAAGTTCATTAAAATTGTCCTAATATAAGAACGCAGTTTGGTTTTAGGTTTTAGGGCAACTTTGATGAAAGGTTTTAATCCACTTCAAATGTTGACTACTGTAATTAAATATTAACACTGCAGTCATCAATAAAAATCAATGAAATAAAAAGCTTTGTTTAGCCTATTTAAAGCGCCGACTTTCGACACCAAATACGTTTCTTCTCTTTTTTTTTTTTCACTATGTACGGCGTCAGATGCAGAAATCTCTGTCATTACTCCGTCATTCCGCTTTTGCTTTTACTTTCACTTTCACTTTCTAGTGATATCCATTGGCTCACCTTCATGGTTTAAAACATAAGTATTTCCAACATTGCGACGAAAGCAATTATCCAACCTAATAATCAAAATGACAAAAACACACAACAAAATGACTAAAACTTTCAAGTTTTAACTTGACGAACGTTTTAAGCCCCACCCCCCTTAGTTACTGTTGCTCCCTCGAACAAACAAACAGAGCTGCTCACTCTCTTACAATGACAGCAGTCAGTGTAAAAACCTTGTCCCACGATGTTTTTGAACAATTTTGGACACAGAAGGGCCACCATTCAAATGTGATATAAATATTCCATGGAGGGATATATAAAATATTTTAAAATAAATACGGTGGGTAACTCGAAGCGAGGGTTTACAGATCACATTGCAAGTGGGAGAAGCCTCATTTTACGGTCGTCACGATCGCAGATGACAACATGCAGGATCAACACTGTTCATGTATCTCAGGGTACGATTAAATTAATGTACATTTAACCAGTTTAATATGGAGTGGCACTGAAATGTAGACCTTCATTTATGTGTTTTTGACTTACACTGTACATGATGTGAGAACAGTTCGCTATTTAGGTTTGTACGTTAGCATGGACTCACTAACTTTAACGTTAGCTAGTTTTAGCCAGAGATACCTTCCTAAAACGCAAGATGACATTAACATTCTGCTTGAGCAGATGAAAATTGTGACTTAATGAGAGTATGACAAAAAGAAAATGAACGTTTTTGTCTTCATTGGGATTGGGGTTGAATGCTTAGGGACATTTTGCTCTGTTTTGTTTGGGTTTAGGAAATGTGATAAAATCAATTCTATTGCCCATCCTCTCAGGATACATGGAATCAGTGTCATAAGTACCACAGTCACATCGTTTTTCCATTTTTGTAGCATAAACACCATCAAACCAATGCGAGCTTCGGATCTTCCAATGTTTCTCTATGACGCTGAAAACTAGAGATGTCCGAGTTCCGCTCCCTGTGCAACTGATACTCGACTGCCATTGGCTCATCTGCGTTCGAGGGGAGGGGCTTACTGATAAGTCAATTATTTTCAGGGAAACGCACTGCGAACGTAGTTCCAGGCAGGTCTTGAACTCATTACATGTCCATATCACTTCGCCAGATGATTTCAGTTATTTCAAAGGTCTTACAAAAGCAAAATAACCAAAACCCACAAGGACACTGGCCAAACATATAAATATAGTAAACAATAGGATAAGAAATGACCGATCATTTCCATGTTTTTGCCACAAAATTACAGTTTATTTTGTACGGAAAGCACGTTTTGGAATTAGCAACGGAGGCGTTGGATGAGATGCGCAAGTAATTAATCCTACTCACAATAGCATTTTAAGTACAAAAACCAGACAAATGCCTTGAAATATATCATCTGATTGATTTCCTGAGGTGTGGTAACCGTAGTATAAGTGGAATAATTGACTTCGGTCCATTGAATTCTCAGAAAATAATTTTTGTATTATTTTTAAGAATTCAACGGACCGAAGTCAATTATTCCTTATATATAATTGGATCTTAATGATACTAAAATATCTAATTAAATATATTTCACTGTAAAAATGTGCATGAGCGTGTTTAATTATTGTATCAGCAGCTTGCACAAATGATGTGACACTAAAATTATTCATATTTGAATTTTTGATTGAATTTTTATACACATTTTTTAAATATACAGTATGTAAAAAAAATTTTTATAAATATGTTTTAAATATTTATAAAAATATAAACAACTGAACAACTGTCAGGCTACTGGGAAATGTAGTTTTAGTTAGTTGCTGCTTGCAGTTAGTTACTTACTCCACAACACTGGATCCACAGCAGCACAGAGCAAGTGACATGCTTCTCCAGAGCCTCTCATGGATGTGTACAGGAGGATACGGCTCAGTGAGGCACAGTAATATGAGCCCGCAGCTCTTCCATTTCCTGTGGCTTAATTTACTTGTCATCCATTAAGCATCTCTAATGCTGAAAGATGTGCTGCAGCTCTGAGGCTTTGGTTGTATCCGCGATGATTTTGGCTTTATTAACATACTTTTTTTTTAAAATTTAAACAACATTACTTGTACTGTGTGTAAACTTACCAACTTGTCTTCCCTTGTTCTTCTCGTCTACTAGTTTAAAGTATTTGAATGTGTCTGCCAATGCGCTGGAGACGATCCCTCCGAGCAGCCAATCAGAGGAGAGCCTCAGCACCCTGCAGGAGCTCTATCTCACAGGAAACAACCTGAATGAGAACTGCGCTGCTCTACTGGTGGGGCATCAGAACCTGCGGGTCTTGCATATGGCTTATAACCAACTGCAGTCCTTCCCTGCTAGGTATGAGACCTTGAACTAGTGTGCTTCCATCGACATGATGGGAGGAGCCTATTATTCAAATTACATGTGACCCTGGAGCACAAAACCAGTCATAAGTAGCACGGGTATATTTGTAGCAATAGCCAACAATACATTGCATGGGTCAAAATTATCAATTTTTCTTTAATGCCAAAAATCATTAGGATATTAAGTAAAGATCATGTTCCATGAAGATATTTTGTAAATTTCCTACCGTAAATATATCAAAACTTAATTTTTGATTAGTAACATGCATTGCTAAGGACTTCAACTGAACATGAATTGTGCTATTGTTCCTTTCTAAATGAGCTCCCTTGTTATGTTTTCAGCAAGCTCAGTAAACTGGAGGTCCTGGAGGAACTGAATCTGAGTGGGAACAAGCTGAAAACGATCCCCTCCACCGTGTCCAGCTGCAAGAGACTGCACACGCTCATCGCCCACTCCAACCATATCAGCGTGTTCCCAGAGGTCCTCAGCCTCCCCGAGATCAAGGTCTGTGACGCATCATGACAGGACATGTCAAACACTGCCCATAAATATTGGAAGGGTCTTTAGGGTCAACCAGAGAGTCATCAAGTGGCAGGAACAAATGAAAATCTAAAAATATAATATATGTATGGATAGCAGTTGCAGTAATTCCAAGTTACAAAAAAAAAGTTTACTAGTTATCAACGTTCATAGACATGATTTGAATAAAAATGTTTGAATAAAACATTCTAATCAGCATTTTAGAATGCTTTCTGAAAGACTGGAGTAATGGATGGAAAATTCTGTATTTTTAATCAAATAAATGCAGTCTTGGTGAGCATAAGAGACTTCTTTTTAAAAAACATTAAAGGGTTAGTTCACCCAAAAATGAAAATTCTGTCATTAATTACTCACCCTCATGTCGTTCCACACCCCTAAGACCTTCGTTCATCTTCAGAACACAAATTAAGATATTTTTGAACCACTGTAGTCACGTCGACTGTTTTAACGACGTCTTTAGTACCTTTATGGATCTTGAGAGTTTGGGTGGCGTTGCTGTCAATGGAAGCCTCTCTGAGCCATCGGATTTGATCAAAAATATCTTAATTTGTGTTCTGAAGATGAAAGGTCTTACGGGTTTGGAATGACATGAGGGTGAGTAATTAATGACAGAATTTTCATTTTTGGGTGAACTAACCCTTTAAATCTCAATTATTCCAAACTTTTGACCAGTAATGTATAAATTTGAATGCTAAATAGAAATGGTGAGAACATGCAAATTAGTGACACTTCATTAAAATGTAAACCTACATTTCTCTAAATTGCGTGTTTAATTTAGATGTAACATTTAAAGTTGTTTAAACACATTGTTTTACATAGTTTTTTGTTTATTGTGTATATATTACAATATTTATAATATGATAGTGAAAACCTCACTATAAAAAAAAAAAAAAAGAAGCTTGTTTAGTTAAGTCTGGCAAAACTGAATAGTTTTGTCCCCCTCTAAAAATATATATTTTTATATATTTTATTTCAGTTATTTTGCATTATTTTACAATGCATATTTTTTTGTTTTAATATATTTATTATATTCTACGTTATTTTACATTTACAAGTTTATTTAGTTATGTCTGGCAGAACTGAACTGTTTTTGTCCCCAGATCCAACAAAATTGAGTAGTTGTTATACACTTTCGTTGTTATTCGCATTATTTTGCATACTGTTTTTTACTTTATTTTGTTTACTTTATTTACTGTATTTTACATTTTTAATACTGCCAAAATTGAACGATTTTTCTCCCAAAATCCAACAGAATTGAGCTGTTTGTTACACACTTCATTTTATGACAATTTTTATTTTACATAATTGATTGACTTTATTTGACATTTTACAAGCTAATTTAGTAAACAAAATTGAATCACTTTTGTCACCAAATCCAACAAAATTGTGCTGTTATTTGTTACAGTTTATTTTCATGAAGTATGTTGTATTTCTTCTGCTCTTTGTGTAGCTAGTAGATGTGAGCTGTAATGAGCAGTCATTTTATGACAATTTTTATTTTACATAATTGATTGACTTTATTTGACATTTTACAAGCTAATTTAGTAAACAAAATTGAATCACTTTTGTCACCAAATCCAACAAAATTGTGCTGTTATTTGTTACAGTTTATTTTCATGAAGTATGTTGTATTTCTTCTGCTCTTTGTGTAGCTAGTAGATGTGAGCTGTAATGAGCAGACAGAAATCCTGTTGCCGGACTCTCTGCCTTCAACCCTACAAGAGCTGGATCTGACCGGCAACAGCAGCCTCATGTTAGAGCACAAAACGCTCAACCTCTTCAGGTGAGACGCTACAAACAGCAGTCCTCCGTGTGGGACACATAGCACACTATGCAGCTGATGAATATTAATACGTTCTGATACTCTCACAGACCCGGGTGGTTAATTGCTTTTTGTCTTTATCTCTGTGTCCTCCTCTCTTCCAGTCACATCAGTACTTTGAAGCTGGACCAGAAGCCAGCCGTGACCGCAGGAGACGCACAGGGCACGTCCACCCTGTGGGATCATGGTTACGCTGAGATGTGTGGGCAAAGGAACAAGTGAGCAAAATCTGAGGACATGAGATTCACAGATCAGGAAACGATGAGTGTGTTTGTCAGTGTTGGTTGAAGGAAGCCCCAATCAAAAAAAAATCTAGTTGTTTTCCAGATTACCATCCCCAACCTATAATTCTCTATTATATATTGAGGATATATTAAAGAAAAAGCAATCAAATGCTAGCAGAAATGACCAGTTTCAATCCCCCCAAAAAAGGGTCTGGGAACATTGCAGTTGTGTTGCGGTCTACAGAGGGTTAGAGAGCTCTCAGATTTCTTAAAAATCTTAATTTGTGTTCCGAAGATGAACGAAGGTCTTACAGGTTTGGAATGACATGTACACTGGTCAACTTTTTAGTGTCACTCTGCATTCTCTTTCTTATCACAAGTAATTTAAATTTCATATCCATTTATTTATTTGGTCAGTAGTCATATAATGAAGGGGATAATGTATAGGCAGTTGGTCATTACTTACGTAATGCTCAGCAGAAAGTGGTTTCATTTAAATTGAAATGTATGATATATATGAGAATATGATTCAGTTTCATGACATTTCTAACTGTTAACTTTTTAAGTGATGCACCTAATAATGATTATGTAAAAGTTTAATTTTGATCAATAAAGTATCGCCAAATAATCTTTATGCAAAGTATATTAGAATGTAATAATATCTTTAAATAATAACCAATTGTGTATTGCAACTATGGTGCATTCAAGTCCTCATGGAAAAATTATATTTACAATTTGGGAAGTCAAAATTACAACATCAGTTGCATTTAAATGAATTTGGTCGGAGCAAGATTGGCAGTTCAGCAAGATTTTTTTACTCTTACAAAATGATGACGAATGCACATCAAGTGCATTTTGCTTTTTTTGTTTTTTCAATTCATGAAGATTTTGTAAACATAAAGTCATTATATATTCTATCGTAGTTGTACAGTACTATTGTAGTTCATACAAGCAACTTAAAGAGATAGTTCACCCAAAAATGAAAATTGTCATTAATTACTCACCCTCATATCGTTCCAAACCCATAAGAGCTTCGTTCATCTTCAGAACACAAATTAAGATATTTTTGATGAAATCTGAGAGCTCTCTGACCCTCCATAGAAAGCAAGGATCCTAACACGATCAAGGTCCAGAAACGTAATGGTGCATTCAAGTCCTCATGGAAAAATTATATTTACAATTTGGGAAGTCAAAATTACAACATCAGTTGCATTTAAATGAATTTGGTCGGAGCAAGATTGGCAGTTCAGCAAGATTTTTTTACTCTTACAAAATGATGACGAATGCACATCAAGTGCATTTTGCTTTTTTTGTTTTTTCAATTCATGAAGATTTTGTAAACATAAAGTCATTATATATTCTATCGTAGTTGTACAGTACTATTGTAGTTCATACAAGCAACTTAAAGAGATAGTTCACCCAAAAATGAAAATTGTCATTAATTACTCACCGTACGTTCCAAACCCATAAGAGCTTCGTTCATCTTTGGAACACAAATGAAGATATTTTTGATGAAATCTGAGAGCTCTCTGACCCTCCATAGA